CATGTAGCACGTTTGTTGGCTACTACGTCGAGAAATGTTTCCTTGCTTTCACATATTCTTTTTAGTATTATGTTACTGTAGATTGCTTTTGCTTTATTTACTTTTCTTTACTATTGTATAATTGATTGTTTAGATTTGTATGTGTATAGTTGACAACAAGCTGACAGCTGTTCTAACCCTTCACCCTATCCACTGCACTGGAGCCGCCAGAGGCTCGAGTCTCTAACCTTTCCTCGGTCTTTATTACTCTTTAGTTTTAACAGTACCAAGATACAACTAGGCGGACAACCAGTCGATCTACGGTGGTATTATACGCAGTTAGATCACGAGGTCGCGGTTTTTTTCCCCTGACTAACTCCAGTCCTCCACGAAGAACCCATAAAGCGGAGGGTGATTATCATCAAACGGTTCTGCCTACAAATCGTATTCCTGCATGCTTCGGCTTGCTCCTCAAGATTGGCAGGCCCCTTGTCCTACCCGCATCTACGTTACTCAATCTATCATTTCAGATGTTCGACTAATCCCCTTTTTTCGTGATTAATCAATTTTCCTGGTGTCGTTTGTGTACTCTTCGGTGTTTAATTTGCTTAGATGAACGAAGAGACCAATCTACTATGCATCAGAGGTGTCCATTTTCGCGCACATCTAACAGCCAGGTGGTCTCTCCGTGTGCGACCACCTTCAGCGTACATTTAGCGGAGGTTGTCTTTTCAGAGTCACACGAAGATCGTATTTTCAGCGACGCTGCAATGTGCTTCATACAAGCAACATTCGGTGTTCTGTTTCAATAACTTATCTAACCTTATCCTCAACTCACGATGAAGACGGCGTGTTCACTTTCTGCCTTGTTTAACCCATTATGATTTTAATTTTAACCTATCAGGGGAAGCATAATAGGCACAACCCGTGTGTTAATTTCGTTTTGGCATCGCTGTTGAATTTATGTTCATTAGGCGTTCTGGTGGTTGAAAAAAAGCAAACGGAAAGTGTCTAACGTCGGCGATAGCCTTGTTCGCAGTGCTCATCAGTCGGCTAGTCGGTTTTAATGTCAATGACATATAGTAAAACATTTTGCAATGAATGAATAAATTGCGCCGCTTCATAAAAAACTTTGGCACACGGCAAGACTTATCAACATCTGAAGCTGATTAGAGAAATGTGGGCTTGGGTTGGGGAAGGGGGATGTTTACTTAGGGATATAGTTTTAGAATTATTTATCCTACTGGCAGCATAGGGGCTAACTAGGTTTTAGCTAGCACTTGTGCCACCAGTATGGTAAATAATCCTACAAGTTGGACTACTGTCTGCCTGTTGGCAGCATGTTAATATTAGACGGCTATCTCACAGTGGCTGATGGACTTCGGCTCAAATATTTACATCCAGTTTCAGTCTATATCTATAGACCTCGAATATACTGATAAACACCAAGTTCAAAGGAAATTGAAAAGCTGGAATATAGTTTTGGGCTCGGCGTTAGGAGCGATAGATATTGGGATTGGCCTACATTCTGTTCATATTGACTTTATCTGTGCGCCAATCACATTTCTTCCTCACTTCAGCCTTTTCTATGGGCGTCCAAGTGCAATTGCGGATCCACGCCAATTAATTATTTACGCACTTTGGCCGAATATGATGAATCTTACTTTTAAAGCCATTTCCATTGGTCTGCTTACGCTTTCCCATTATATCTCACCCGTAAAATTTCCGTACTACATTAATCTGTCTAATTAGTTTCCTCAGTGGCGGCACCTATCGTTATTCCACCGACCTATCCTCTGACCTCCTGTTATTATAACTTTCAATCTACCCGAGACTACTATATTAGCTCCGAACATAGCATTTGTAATTGAATGTACAGGAGATTTGTAGTGAATAACTCCACGCGAAACACACTTGTGAACGCTTGTCGTAACTAGCTCCAGTCGAACGCACACTTATGAACCCTTGCTATTTCCGACCTCTGGAACAGCCAATCACAGGCCGAGTAGCACAAGACCTCATGCGAGGACTGCCGAGCAGACATCCCCTCAGACGCCGTCCGCTAGCTTGCGGGTGTGTGGTCGACTTACAGTCAATTTCCTACTGCCTATTCTCCATTCCTTCTGCACAGAATGAATTGCTTCTGCCACTCTGGCCATCCATGATTTCTCTTGCCCTAAGGAACCGGGCATGGAGATCGTTGTTGCCAGGGTTAAACTTACTTAACACCCTGCGATAATTCCATTGTTTTATATTCTTGTAGACAGCTATACATAGGTCGAATTTTGCTTAGATTAGCTCGTAACACCTACGCATACCCCCAATTCGCCACAGACAGGGGACGAAATTAAAACCACTAACGAGATCTAATTCGGCTTTAGGGGAAATTGGTTCGCATCCTTTTCGCATATCCTCAGGTGGCTACAGGCAGGCGACGAAGTTACA